AGAGGAATAACCCCTGTCCCGGGCCCTCCAGAGATCATTCACCAACGTGACCAATGCCGTTTCCGTGCTGTATCCCAGCCTGAAGCCCGACTGGAGAGGGTCTAGATAGACTGTTTCCTCCAGGTGCCGAGGAAACTGCTGTGCAACCACACTCTCAACAACCTTCGCCACAAAGCGCAGGTTGGAGACTGGGCGATAGCTAGCCAATACATCTGGATCCAGGGAGGGCTTCTTAAGGAGGGGCCTCACCACCGCCTCCTTTAGGACCGCGGGGAAGGCACCCTCCCATAGAGAAGCGTTTGTAATTCCCTGGAGCCAGGCTCGTGTACCCTCCCGAGCCGCCAATACCAGCCAGGAGGGACACGGATCCAATAAACATGTGGTTGCATTCAGTCTCCCCAGGATCCTGTCCACGTCCTCGGGAGCCACAGAGTCAAACTCCTCCCATATAATAGTCTCAAGACCTGCTCCCGCCACCTCCCCCGGGGCCACCCAGTCGGAGTCCAGACCCTCTCGTATCCGAGCGACTTTGTCATGCAGATATTGTGCAAACTCCTCAGCCTTCCCCGCCAGGGGGTCCCCCCCCCTCAATTGAAGGAGGGAACGGGTCACCCTGAAGAGGGAGGCCGGGCGGTTATCTGATGACGCAATGAGGGTGGAGTAGTAATTAGACCTCGCCACCCTCATCACCACAAGGTAGGATCTAACATGTATCCTTACCTGTGTTCGGTCGGATTCGGTTCGGGTAGCCCTCCAACTGCTCTCTAGGCGTCTTTTCCGGCATTTCATCTCTCTCAGCTCCTCAGTAAACCAAGGAGCTAGTTGAGATCTACGTCGGGTCAGAGGCCGCAGCGGCACGACTCGGTCCAGTGCTGCGGCTGCGGCCATATCCCAGGCCGCAGCCTGATCTTCCGCCGAGTCGTGACCTAGCTCCTCCGGATATGGCCCAAGCTCCGTCAGAAACCTCTCCGGGTCCATCAGGAGCCTGGGACGGAACCATCTAGGCGGTTCCGTCTCCCTGCGGCGAGGGGAAGCTAGTTTTTCATGGAAGTTTCCCAAAACAAAAGGATACGACTTTACAGCTGTCCCAGATTCCAGCTATTTCAATCCCTCCTTCCAACATTTTCACCTTCCACTGAGCGTACTTGATTCTCATCTAAATGTTTTCTGACAAGTCCCTCTCTCAATGCATTTCCTTTTTCCTAACGATTTCTGGCAGTGGAGTATACACTTCCCCAATCAGAGCCTCGCCTTTGGATCCCGACCAGATGGGAGGCAGAATAAAAGGAAGCTGTTTAAAGGCGGGAGGAGGGAAAATCCCAAGGTTGGCTTGCTCCCAATTCATGATGAAAAAGGCGAAGGGAAGCTCGCAATTCAGGCTGGCCGACAGGCAGGCTGGCTGGCTTGCTGGCTTTCTCGCCCGCGCCAACTCCCTTCTCTTTGCTTGCAGCCGGGCAATTCTGAGTTTAAGCAGAGCTCCTAGCAACCCTGAGGAAAATCCCACAGATGGGGGTGTGGAGACTCAATTAAGGTGCTTGCAACCCCCCCATGCAAGGGCAGAGGCCAACCCCAGTTTTTTTTTTAAAAAAAAGCTTAAGATTAAAAAAAATACAATCCAAAAGCGCTATTTAAAAAAGCAATTGCACTGAATGCATCAAGGCGAGCTGATGGAAAGAAAAGATGATCGCCGGCGCTTTTATTCACAGACACCAGATTTTTCCCCCCCAGATCATAAAATGTCCATTCCTCTCTCCAAAAGGGAGGGAATCAAAATACAAAAGGAACCCACACAAAGCCCCCCGGCATGCTAATTCCACAGCTAACAACCCTTCCTTCCCTCCCTCTCTCCTTCCTCCTCCTCCTGCCTCACCCCCCCTCAACTGCCCGCCAGCCCGTCTCCCCTCTTCCACAGAGGCGCGAGCAACTGCATGCAAGCGCGATCTGGAGCAGCTCCGCCAGCTTCACAGATTCCCCAGGAAGATACGTCACGATGCCAATGTCCGGGCCATGGCTTCTGATTGGTGAAAAGGCTGGGAGAAGGCGGGCTGAGTCGTTGGCTTTTGCTAGCTCTACCTGAGAGGCGGGGAGTTGCTCCTTTGATGCTTTAAGTCTTACCATTCTCTGTGTTGTTTTTATCTGCCTGGAGACAGATAGAGGAGCAGTGTGTCTCGGTTCCTAAGACCATCAGAAATATGTGTTTTCTGATGGTCTTAGGTGACCCCTGTGAAAGGGTTATTCGACCCCCAAAGGGGTCACGACCCACAGATTGAGAACCGCTGGCCTAGGGGCTGGGCTGATTTCTGGGGGCTGGTTTCTGTCTTTTTTAAGATCTTCTCCATTATTCCTTTGGGGAAATATATTCTGCCTTTTTAATATTCCCCAAAATATTTCTTTCTCTGGATTCTTGCCACAGAGGAGTATTAAGTACGCTCATTGTCTTGAATTATATATAAAAAGGTGGAATGAACATCTAATAAGAAGAACATTATGTTAGCTAATATATTAGTAATCTCATTTATAAGGAACTCAAGTGTGTGTTCAAATCCTAGGTCCCAATCATGACACAGGTAAAATTTTATTATTCTGTCAATGTAGTTGTTGGCTTTTAGCATTTTAACTTTTTCCAGAATTAACCATTGTATAGACTCTGGGCTGTTGCTTCTTGATATATTTGATAAGAGAATCCTTGTAAATTGGGGTTCAAAAGTATAGAAGCATCACCGTCCTCAGAGGGCTGGCTGCTTAATTTAATTAAATTAAGCCAGATTTGGGATTTTCTGCTGCTTTTGCAATATTTCTTCATTTATTTCATGCCTTTTCCACCCTGAACCCATTACTCTTGACCCAGAATATTCATATTACAGCTCCACCCCAAACATTTAAATAAAGAATGCAAATGAATGAATTTTTGATAATGTATTTTAATTGAGGAATTTGCATTGAGCCATTGAGTCATTGCTAATGTGAAAGTTTGCCCCCTAGTGTCTGAGAAGGGTACTGAGATAAAGGTTTCTTGTACTTTAGTTCCAGGCTGCATATTAGATACAAAGCTTATTGCCATACTTGTCTATAAAGCATCTTGTTTTGAAACCTTTCCATGTTTCTATCTCCTGGAAAAGTCTGTCTCCTGGGCATAAGGTGGGCACCATCTGTCGGTGTCCATGGATGGTGTAGTTGGCCTGCAGCCTGGCACCCTTCACTGAGCACTGAATGAAGTTGTTCTTCATCAGCTCCAGCTCATAGGAGTCTGGGAGGACCTTCATGTAGTCTCCAATGAAACTGATGCCGTACCCTTTGCTATTGTACCCCCGGGTGTGAGCTCCTACCCAGTGCCAGCCCCGGCCTTGGTAGAGGTAGCCATCACTGCCAAAAACAAAGCTGTGCAGGAACAAAAGAAAAGTATCACGAAAAGCAATGGAAACAGCTTGTGGAATTTTTCCTATTTCATACATAAAGAGAAATGCACTTTAAAAACACTTCTAGGAAAAATAAAAATTATGTAAGGATGTATAGCTTTACTGAATGAGTAGAAAGATACTTTCAAAACCAAAAGGATGTGGAAGTGAATACTATTTAAATAAGCCTGCCTAGAAATAAAAAGTAATCAATATGATTTATATTCCAGTGCAGCTAAAATGGGAACATATGAAATGAATATATAGGATTTCTGCTTCAAACCAAACATTGATAGAGGAATGAAGACAACATGCAGATGGCTGATCTATGCTCATGTTTGATCTAATAAAGTTTGTTCAAAATATAGAGCTCCCCAATGTAATTTGAAAAGGGAAGATTTTTTTCCATGGGTTAATTGGAATTTTGCTCTTCACCACATTTTGCCCTACTGTAAATGCAGTAAACAACTTTTAATAGTCTAAATATAAAATACATTCTATAATATGATTTGATAAAAATGCTATTAAAATGTCCAGCTAATTTGTTAATTGGAAATATATATTGCATAAAGACACTCATACCTGTAGCCAATGTCATCCCAACCACGGTCATCTTGGTGGAATCGCTGCATGTTTCGCATGTCAGCTGCACATGAGGAGAAGGTTCGGCATGGCTTAGAAGGGGTGCTGGTGTGGTGGATGTAGACAAATCCTAAGGGCAGCTTAAGTTGAGTGGGTGTTCCTTTATAAGGACGGGCCCCCCATATGCATCGTGGAATTATGGCAGGACATTCTGTAGGGGAGTGGGGAGAAAAACATCAGAGCTGAAGGACAAAAGGCCCAGCACATAGTCAAACTATGGATATCGTTATCCCAACATCTGGCTTCTAAACCTGACAGCTTAAAGTGAAACCTGACAAATCCAGGGAAGTGAAGGTGTCAGTGGCACCTGTTCCTTATAGCTAAGCAGTATATACAGTATCAGGAGCAATCTGTCTCTCAATGCCATAAGTGTGCATAGGAAGAGACATGCTGGCTCTCATGTTCTGTTTGAGAGTTCCCATTGGGATTCCACCCGCAACAGGATGAAGACATTCTTGAGCATCTTCTGTTAATTAGCCAACCTCAAACCCCCAAGTGATTGTTTGTATAGCCCTCAGTGAGACACAATATGCTAGACTGAGTTACTGTGCCACAAAATAATAGTAGAATAGCAAAACATTGTGATTGGCCTAAAAAACATATTGCGACAGGTGGTGGGCTGAAGGCCAGGATCTTTTCATTAATTCCACAATGTCTACATAGATGGTTCATGAGCCTGAGAAGAGGCTTCATTTAACTAGTGTCTGTTGACACTGCAGGTACTGTACTTCACATGTCATGAGATGTTTGCTTAGAATGGACTGTAAGAAGAGGGGAGTATGTAAGTATTGCAAATAAATGACCTCACTTGAACTAATTACCAGCAATGCAGTATCTCAGCAACTTAGAGGATTAAACATCAGCAATAAGTGAAATGATCCTATCAGGATGTCTATTTTTCTAACAAATAACATACCTACATACATCGTCATGAACTCATCAACAGCTTGTTTTGCCAGAAATGTCAATTCTTTGTCTGTGATTTCTTCAAAGAGGGAGCTGGCTTCATTCATCTTCCAGAGAAGGCGCAGAGCATTTTCTACCTGCTCCTGTAGCTTTTCTTTACTCAGCAGTGCTGCAAAAAATTTTCTGCGGAAGTTGCTCCGCATTTTTTCTTCCCCATCCAGGCCCTTAGAGCCATAATAGTCATTCAGCAGAACACTGATATTGGATGGTAGATCAACCTTCTCTACCAAGTAAGTGCCCAAAATAAAACCATCCATTGCACCATTGATAACAGCATCAGGCATATATGAGGGAGGACCCATTAAGGTAAAAGTACAGGGTTCAGAGATACTATCCCAACAGCCATTTGGTCCCAGGGCTACCTGGCTCTGCTTAGAGTAAAAGAAGAGAAAAGTCATTCCAAGGTCCATTGAAATAGTGGAAATAAGGAGATCCAAAGAAAGCTGTGATTCTTCTCCAGAACTGTTTGGAGGGCCAGTGGTCAAAGGTTTCTCGTACAGAGACAACTCATTTTTCATTCTGAATCCAGCTGCGATTCCAGCAAGTAAAGGACTAATTGAAACTGTGGTTCCATCAGGAGTTAAGACTACCCCATGTTCCACTTGGGAGCCATCAAATGTATGATTCACTAGATTTTTTAAGAATGTTCTCTTTGCCTTACTCAGGTAAGGCAAGTCAAAGGTCCTGGAAGTCACTGGACCAAGAACAAACTGGCAAATTTTACTATTACACAACTCCAATTCCTGGTACAGCTCTGCTATAGTTAGGTCTGGGGTCCCGTTCAAGTGGAATTCCACATCGTTCAGAATTTCAATCACAGTGTCCATATGGAGTATCAAGTTGCCTAAAAACAGTAGGATTGAGATATCATAATTAGAGTAGCAAGCAGCGAGTGAGAAGGAGCAAGCAAAGCACATGGGTTATGCACTCTTGGATCGAACATTCTGAATGAAATTGTACTTGCACAAATAGATGGAATATCTGGCCAATAACACAGAGGGAAGCATTATCTGAAATGGATCCAGGTGTTTTGTTATGACAAAATGAAGCTAAGGCTGATATGGTAGACTGTGGAATAGAAAGAAGTTCATTATTCTTTTGGGAAATAGCCATTTGTGTCTGCATGTGGATTAAATTACTGAAAATTACTTCTCTGAAAGACAAAAATTAATGCCCAGGCAGCAACCAACTTTAATTTCCATTCCACCACACACTTTCATACAATAAGAAAACATATTCTTGGTAATGAACATTTCTGCCATTAACATTTCTCCACCCAAACTGGAATTTCTTTGTTGTACATTTCTTTGGTTAAATTAACCAATAAATTGAACTTCACCTGCTAAAACCAAAACATGTTCAGTACACAAGGGACCATAAGTAAGGGTTTTGTTTGTGAAAGAAAATGTTTTTTTAAAAAAGAAGTCGTGCATATTCTCAAATGACAATATGATATTTTACCCTAAACCTGCTTTCATATTGGATGACTATGATACGCCAGTTGCACCCCTTTCTGGATCGTGACGCCCTACGCACGGTCACTCAAGCCCTCGTTGTTTCCCGCCTGGACTATTGCAACACTCTCTACATGGGGCTCCCCTTGAGGTGCACCTGGAGGCTCCAGCTAGTTTAGAATGCGGCCGCGCGGGGGATTTTGGGGGCCTCTAGATACTCCCATGTAACACCTCTCCTGCGCGAGCTGCACTGGCTGCCTGTGGCCTTCCGGGTGCACTTCAAGGTGTTAGTAACAACCTTTAAAGCGCTCCATGGCAATGGACCTAGGTATTTGCAAGACCGCCTCCTACCAAATACCTCCCTTCGACCAGTCCGCTCCCACAGAGAGGGCCTCCTTAGGGTGCCGTCGGCCAATCAATGCCGGCTGGCGACCCCCAGGGGGAGAGCCTTCTCTGTGGCAGCTCCTGCCCTCTGGAATGACCTACCCCCCGACCTACGTATAACTACGGACCTGCGCCTCTTTTGCCGAGTCTTGAAAACCCATCTATTTCATGCGGCCAGCCTGGCGTAGTTCTGATTGTGTTTTGGTAGGGGTTTTTATATGGGGTGTTTTAGAGCAGGCTTTTTATTTAATATTTATTGTGATTTTTATTATTGCCTGTTCACCGCCCTGAGTCCCGTAAGGGAGATAGGGCGGTATATAAATTTAAATAATAAATAAATAAATAAATAAATATTGCCAAATTATGCCATATTACTTTGCTCAAAACCTCTGTGGTTCAATTGGTATTATTAAATGGAGGAGAAAAAAATCTCATTGAACTGAGTAGAATTTACTCCATATGCCTAATTATATCAGACTATGAATTATTTTTTGGGGGGGTCCAATTATGGGTAGGACCTGTCTGAACCATCAAATACTCCAGTCATAGGAGATATATCTTTTTTTTTAAAGCAATGTGTTTCTGGATACTGAGTGTGCTCCCAAAATGTGCTTTAACCACTGCATGGTTATGGAAGGTAATATTGCAGCCAATTTTGGTCACCATATCACACAAAAAAGGTTGAGAGTTTGGAAAAAATTCAGAGAAGAGTAACTAAGATGATCAAAGGCCCAGAGACTAAAACATACGGTTGCAGGACTTGGATTTGGCTAATCTAAAGAAAAGAAGAAATAGGAGAGACATGATACCAGTATTCCAGTATTTGAGGGGCTGCCACAAAGAAGAGGGGGTCACATTATTCACCAAAGCACCAGAGGGCAGGACAAGAAACAATGGTTGGAAACTGATCAAAGAAAGAAGCAACCTGGAATTCTGACAGTGAGGACAATTAATCAGTGGAACAGCTTGCCCCCAGAAATCGTGGGCATTGGAGGTTTTAAAGAAGAGGCTAGACAGTCACTTGTCTGAGATGGTATAGGTTCTCCTGCTTGAGCAGGGGGCTGGACTAGAAGACCTCCAAGGTCCCTTCCAGCTCTATTCTAGTCTAAGTTATTATTAAATATGGTGTAGGAGTTAAGAAGTACAAATCTGACATCCAAGGCTTATCAGCCTTACTGATGAAAACTTACTGGGGACTTTGGGCTAGTCATATCCAACCTACCTCACAGGATTGTTGATATGAGCAATAAAATGAAAGGAGATACCCCCTCCCTCCATATAAGACCTGTTTTGAGCTCCTAGACGAAAGGTATATACAAAACAAATAGTAACAACAAAACAGCCAGCCATATTTTAGCCTAGCATGTTCTGCAAATCTAGCCTATTCAATTTAGTTTATGGTTCATTGTCTTATGTATCAACTCAGTAAGCTATACAGTAGTTCCTTTTTTCCATGTAACAATGGGTTATTGTTATTCCATTCAGTCACCTGGAATTAAATTAGTGGAAAGGGAGGAACTGATCACAAAGCAATAAACTTCCCAAATGTCCCCTGCTCCATAGCACTTGCTCTTTGTCAGCATGCCCTACACTTCAGCACTAAGATGGGGGCATGGGTGGGATAGAAAGACTGACCCGAATCCACAGGGTAAGAGGCAGCCTAGGCCAGGCTTTCCAACCCAGTTGTTCTATCTGATTACAAACACCTTTTCTCTAGATAGTATGTTTTTTTAGATATAAGAATTAGCATATCTTGAGGGGAAAAGCTGATAAATGGAAGAGCAGTGGGACCATTCTAGGATCATTCAGATCATTGCCTGGAATGCTGTGGTCAAAATTATTGCAGTATAGCAGATAGATAATGATAAAGAAGAAAATGATACCCTTCCATTTTCCTAATATGCATGTGGAACCATGGTTGGACTCATCTGCAGTCCCCCCCCCCTTCCCCACTACTTCTGCCAAATTTTCCAGCCAAATTTATTTATTTACTTTGTGTTTTTTTATTAAATTTATGTGCCACCCATTTCATCAGAGATGATACTGAACAGCTAACAAACATTAAAAATAGTATACATTAAAATAATAAAATAAATAACAGTAATAAATACTTTAAAAAACAGGGAGGAGCGGAACACAAAGCACAAAGGGAGAGATGGAGTCTTTCCTAATCTAATTGCCACCTCCAGAAGAGGGAACCCCAGTTGGGGCTTCAGGCCAACTGGCAGAGCCAGGTCTTCAAGCCCTTACAGAACGTAGAGTTGCCTTTTATCCAAGCAGCTTAGTGAATATATTGTACTACTAGTCTAGGTCTGGTGGTCGCCTGCAAGAGAAAGTGATCTGCCTTAAATCTTACCTGCATGGGCTGTGCTGACACAAAAACCCATCATTGGCACAAGTCCCAGCCATATCAGGAACATCCTATTGGTGGCGTGAAGGACAACTTACAATTATGGCACCTGCAAGGCAAGGAAAAGGAAAATGAGGAAGGAAAAATAAATAAAAGCTAGTGGGCTGGGCCACACAGATAGTTCAAAGGCCAATCAGGAAAGCCTGATCATTGGACTCTGCCCCACATCATGCTGGGAATCTGCTAAGAAAGCTAGTAGGCCAGGACTGTCCATCTCTTTGCTAGGGTCGCAACTCCTGAGAGTTTGTTAAATGGTGGTGTTCCCATTCAGTTTCTGCAGTCTGCCAAGGTCTCTGGTTGAGCCAGGCTGCATATTGAAAACAGGGAAACCAGCCTTTCCCTCCCGTCATGACAGGGGCATAACTTGTGCTGCTGCAACGTACACACAGTTGAGTGCATATATGCACAGGGAGTTCATTTGTTGCTAAACTTTAGTGCTGTGTGTTAAACAATTTGCTCCTCTATGTGAGATCTGTACTGAATTCAGCCTTGCCTCCTCAAATTAAAGTGCCAGCTGTGACCAAAGGTGCCAGTTATCAGTTTAAATTAGTATAGCAGCTGTGCCATTTCCTTTAAAATGTTGACTTTTCTTATATACACTTTGATTTCAGATTAGTCTCCTGTAATACTTTGGGTACAGGATTGCCCTTGATGAGTTCCTTGCAACTACAAGTGGACTACATCCAGCTATTTTTTTGGTCAAATTTTCTCCAGTTGTGGAACAATCCTCCTCTTGCAATTTTTGATCCATATTGTCCCTTGAGATCATCAAAGGATTTCATTTTGTTTTTGTTTTCTGTCAGGGATCAGAGGAACTATAATTCAACATCACTGACGTGTGCTGCACTGGCCAAATGTGGACTAAATGAGCTTCAGAAATGTCCTCATTTTGTTAGAATTAGATACCAACTAAAGCAGCTACCCTCCCCCATCCTTAGTTAATACAGAATACAGAATAACAGAGTTCGAAGGGATTTGGAGATCTTCTAGTCCAACCCTGTCAGGCAGAAGACCCTATACCATTCCAGATAAGTAGATGTCCAATCTCTTCTTAAAAACCTCCATTCATGGAGCATCCACAACTCCTGAAGGCAAGCTATTCCACTGATGAAATGTTATCACCGAAAGGAAATTTCTTCTTAGTTCTAGGTTGGGTCTCTCCTTGATTAGTTTCCATCCATTACTTCTTGTCCTATCCTCAGGTACTATGGAGAATAGGTCAATCCCTTATTCTCTGTGACAGCCCCTCATATTTGAAAACTGCTATTAGGTCATCCCTAATCCTCTTAGTTAGACTAGACACACCCAATTCCTGTAACTGTTTATCATATGTTTTAATCTCCAGTCCACTAATCATCTTTGTTGCTCTTTTCTGCACTCTTTCTAGAGTCTCAACATCTTTTTTGTATCATGGTGGTCAAAACTGGATGCAGTATTCCAAATGTGGTCTTACCAAAGCAATATAAAGCAATACTAACCCTTCATGTGACCTTGATATTATCCCCTCTGTTGATGCAGCCTAGGACTGCTTTGGCTCTTTTGACAGCTGCAGCACACTGCTGGTTCATATTTTTGATTTTTATGGGAATGGATTTCAATTCCTTTCTGATCCACTGTAGTGCTCACAAAGGCTCAATCTGAGGTTTAGGTGGGGGAAGCTGCCAGAAAAAAACAGGCTATAGCTGATCTCACAACAAAAGATGGAAGTTCCTTTGCTCTCCTGAAGACTTTAGAAAGAGCCTGCATCATTCTCAAGCTGTGAAATGCTGTTTCCTTCAAAATTATGACTGTCTGTCCCTATTTCCTTAGCAAGATTTATCTCTTGTCTATATGCATTTTGTGCTTTTTCTTTATTAATCTTTTCTTAAAATTTGGGTAAACTGCCTTGATTATATGTGACTACTATAAATACTTTTTTTAAAAAGAGGAGGTGGGTGGAGATCAACTAAATAATCAAATGCCAACATGCCCTTTAATAAAGAAAAAATGAGCATGGCAACAATATTTGCTTTATTTTTCTTTTGATAAGTAATTGCCCTCTTTCTCTTCTGCACCACTAGCAACACTTAATTTCTTATTTATTCTGATGTAAAAGAATTAGGCAGATTTTCCTGGGGCCCTCCACAACTTCATGGTGCTGCATGCTTTCCCCTGTGTCAAAGCAGAATCATGGAAAGAGATGGATTCTTTCTTTCCTTCCACCCCAAGGAGTTAAAGAAATTCAAGAAATGAGCAGAACATGGACTTCTGGTTTGTCATCGCAGCACCGCAGATGCTGGAAGACGAGCTCCATCTTTCGTGTCCGAATTCATCCCACTGGGGGACCCCAGAAAGGGTCTAAAGTCTCCCTATAGGGGTGATGAGCAAGGAGGGGACCCCCGCTTGATCGTGGAAAGGCGGCATCCCTTCTGTTTGATCTGGGGCAGCCCTCCAAATCGGTGGGGGAAAGACCGGCCATATCAATATGGCCCGTCACTCAGCTGCTGACAGTCGAAGTCAAAACTACCACCAAGCACCTTTAAAGCAATGTGGATGAAACTGGGTGAGATCTGATCTTCTCTTTAAAACTTTAAATATCTTTTCCTGTAAAAGCTGCCCAAAATATTTTTCCCCCTGTGAGGAGAGAGGGAAGGGAACTTTTATCCTACCCTCTAACAAAAGCAGCGACTAATTACACAGGGGAATCAGAGCAATTATAAGAACAATTTTAATCTAATTGGATGTATATGCTTTTGAAACTTGGGAACTAAAGGTTTTCCTATTCTTACTAGAGACGTTTGTTTTTATCTAAAAAAAAGAAATAAGACTTGAAAAATTATCATAAAAACTTTGGACTTCAAAAGCTTTAAATTGCATCGGTGACATCTTTTGGCAAAGTATGGTATTACAACTTGTTATTGCCTAAAAGAGACTTGGTTTGAAGCCCAGACTCTAGAACAAACTCTTCTGACCTTGACAGATACTACCTGTGAAAAACTCAGCTGTAAAGAAGGAACTTCTGGGCGGCATATCTGGCCTGTTTGAACTATGAATGTAAACCTTTACTGATTTTCAGAGTTGTATGTGGGGAATTGCTTTCCTATTTCTTTACATGAGAAGCATATGTTATTATACGAGATGATGGAATACCTTGGAGTATAAATTCTTACTTGGCAAACAATTCCCACTATAAAGACTACCTACAACACGTAAAATATATGTTCCATACCCAGTTATAAAAAACAAAAAACTATTTTTAACATTTGATTTTAAAGTCTTCAACTTAACACATTATCAAGAGAATATGAATGAAGATCAGGAAAAAATCCTTTCTAGGTTGAAATCAATATATGAAACCATTCTTTCAGCTGTGACAAAATAAGAGGCAACATAAAGGAACAAGATGCCAGCTTAGATATACAAACCCAGATCTTGACTACAACCAAAGAATTAACAATGCAGAAAATAATAGGAGAAGTGGAACAACTAAACACCAAGACAGAGGACTCAGTTCACCAAGAGATCCAGCCAACGGAAAAATCAGAAAAGGGAGTGAAAACACTGAAAATGGAAAAGACTTTTTACATAAATCAGAAGAAATTTGAGGAAAAGGAAGAAGAACAGATTGAATGGAAGATAAACCTATCAGGACAATTGTGGGAAATTGGGGTAATAGGGAGGTGATCTAATGAATGCAAATGGGCTCGTTCTTCCAAAAAAACTGTAACCAAATGGTCTTTCTTATTTCAAATAATATATATAAAAATAGAGGGAGAACTATTTGATGATTCAAAAGTACTGACATGGAAGGTTAGTTGGCAAAGGAAGAAAGCCAGAATAAGGCTGAAGGAAACTAGGGTTTTGATTTATTAGAGGGAATTTCTTATTACTGATTAGAGGGTTGAATATGGTGGAAAATACATAATTTTTAGAAAATAAAGTAACATTATAATTGAATAGGTAAGATGTGTAACAAGACTAATAGACTTTTGGTTTAATATGGTGGAAAATAGATAACTTTTAGAAAACAGAACAAGACTATATGCAAATAGATAAGATGTGTATTTAGAATATTAGATTTTGTTATGAAAAGGGAAAAAGGAAGAAGTTGAGATAAGGAAAACTTTGGTTACCTAAAGCTTGGAAATTATAAATACCAAATGTTAATTTGAATATTGATGGGAAATTAAAGCTTGGGAAAAAAAACAATAACAGGACATTGATTGTATACAAGGATTGAATGTAAACACAATTAAGGTATGTATTAGCTAAAAATTATTGATACATGTAACAAATATGTTTTTACTTAGTTGATAATAATAAGAACTATATTAGCCTAATATGAGATAGTAGATATTAAGGGAAAAAGAGAGGAGATATCTGATGTTGTAACTTGAGATTTGTACTAAAGATTTATGTATGTTATTGATTAATGTAGTCACCATGTTGCTTTTTAAATACTTAATTGTAAAATTAGAAAATTAATAAAATATTATCAAAAAAATGACCAGAACACAGATATCTCTAAATAGGATTGTTGTAGTGTCACTGATCAATGTGAAATGTAAATAGCTTTCTATCTCCTAAACTTTCAGCTGATAGAGCATTCTGTAATAATGGAAGCTCATTTTGCTGATTGGACTCTGATTGCCAGGATTCGCACGTAGGATCATATTAGGAAATAGATTTTCTGAATATTAAATAGAACTCATGGAGCTCTTTGATTGAATTGGGCAACCAAATGATTACTGTAAAGTGCAAATGACTTTTGTGTGGTCTCTTCTTGCTTTTTGTTTGCAAAAGTTCACATAGGCTAAAACTAATGTCTGTAATAAGAACTTTATGACTCAAATTTAGTCATATTTAATCATATCCCAATAAATCCCTGGAACTGATATTAGTTATATATTACAAGTCCGATTGAATGCAATGGACTTATTCTATATTGAGACTGGATCCATACAAATATAATTCAAATTATTTTGAAACTGATAATGTAATATATCCAAAAAGCAATTCTTCTGTCCAGGT